TATTATATTATCTGGATTATTATATCCATAATTATTACGGCATTATCCACTGTGGTATACTAACATAAAGTTAACAAGCCTACTCGTGTTCTATATGGGAAAGTCTCTATATGTAACGAAAACTAAATACTCTCTCGGCACATACAGACTTATATTAGTAAATACGAAATACATTGTACGTAGCAACACTATCAATAGCTATATACTACGAACATAACAAGCTTGATCATGTAGGTGTACATGTAAGCCAATATTTGCCCGCCCTGACACTTGTTGCTCAACAAATGTTTTGCTACGAGATCGTAACCAAACGAATCGGTCGAATAGTTTCATTTCTGCAATATAATAGTACCAATAATACGAGAGAAACTTCGTAGACAATGTTCAACAAAAATTTAATAGATGTCTGTCTTACCAAAACTTGCAGTCAATTTAATAACATAATAACAATAAAACAGTATTTCGTAAAGACACGTTCACGTTTATAAGTGCATTTGTTTATATGAATAACGTTATTTTGAGTTTGACGTTTTAAATAACCAATCAAAACAGTAAACGTTGGTTTCGAATTTCGATTGAATCAATCATTAGAATTAGATCATTGTTTACGATTCGTAGAACCCTTTAGCTAATTGAGCCATTACGGCTTTTCATACATAATTTAAATAATGCTTTGTTTTGATATAGGCTTAGCATAAAAAAATTATGGCCCTTCAGCTCCTGGTCCTGATCTAGCCACTTGGCCAGTAGATGCTGAAACTTCTGTGCCTAACACACAATATTGAATCTTAGGCGTGTGATATTTACCTACATTGTTTAAATATTACTTGCACAGACAGAAAATTCCACAGGTGTACTACCGGGATTCGATAGTACGAGTTGCGTACCTAGCCTTATAGATATGTATTCAAATAAAACAAGGGAGATTTAATAAATTGTTTTATTTCAACCAAGTTTTGATAGTTGACTAACTACAATACGGTTGAACAACCAAAGCTTCGTGCTAAGTATTTACAATGTTTTTACAAATAATTAAATATTCGTTAGTTTAAAAATGATGTTTTAGTCCAATTATAAGGGTTTAAAGTAGTTAAATATTTTGCCTTGCAGCGGTACTAAGAGTCGTTTATTAACGACTTTTTATAAAACAAGACAGTACAGTATTCGTTTTAACGTTTAAGAAACGAACTCTTGATCAGTTAATAAAAATTATATCCAATTGAAAATTAAACCTAATAATAACCCTATTTCGACTAACGCGCTTCAGATTTCGTTGCTAGGTTCTAGTTCTTTAGATATGCATCGATCACTATAGAGATAATTTAATGGACCATTCTGAGTACCACTGCTTTGTAAAAGTCAGCATGTTTTATTATGACTGTAAAGTCATATGCAAAACACTGGTTATCCTATTTTGCGACTTAATCAGAAATTTAGAAGAACATTTTTCAGTTAAAATTATCGTTTAATATATTAAAAAAAAAATAGTAAACCATTTTTTACATACTTTGACTGTCAGTCAGTGAGCAATTTACATTCATATACAAAATTTGTTTGAACTTTAAGTTCTCTAATCAAATATAAATAAAGGTTTCGAATATTTTCAAAAAAAATCATAAAAATGTTAAAATTGCGAAAATTTTGTTTGAGCACCTAATTTTAAGTTCAACGTAACATAACTAAGCACACATCTTCGGCGTCTTTGGTCATAAAATAAAAACATGTCTGAATTTCTAAAGTAGTACTCACATACGGTATTACTCGACAGTTTTACTCGAAGTCGAGTAAAAATCAACGTGTGGACCGCAAAACTCACAGCTCGAAGGTTCGATGGAATTAAATGAAAGTAATTTCCTTCGAACCTACTCGAAGCGAGCCGTCAATCTTGACTCGAACGCGGGTACGTGACTGCAAGTGGCGCGAGGCGAGCGTCAGTCTGGTATTGTTTATCGTGATTGAAACACGTGTTTTTAAGAGAAATGGATTTGCGAGTAAATTGCAAAAGCGCTATAGAAGACTTTATTAACACATATAGACAGTGTGAGTGTTTATGGAATGTCAAGTCCAAAGATTACTCCCACAAAATTAAGAGAAATGAATGTTATCATAAATTACTAGCTGTGCTTAAGGTTTTTTCTTTTCATTTTCTTTAATTTTCTTATAAAGCACTGTGAGACTTGCTAAATACATCCACCGTCTCCTTTGTTGCACAGACATCCTTTGGCTCGAACGGTTCGGTGAATACTGAATGGCGCGCCTCACTCGATAGATCAATGCTCAATGTGTGGACGAAAGCCCATGCCATGGGTTTTACTTGACAGTTTAGCTCTATCGAGTAATACCGTATGTGAGTACTGACCTTTAGATAACTTTTAAATATTCCGATAAACAGTTAAAAAGACCCAAATCATAATTAATAGAAATATATCGCTGCTAAAGTTTTAAAAATAGATAACATTTACGTACAGTTACGACTAAAATTGTTATAAAAGAATTATCTAATATTTACACTTACCTAAGAAGGCGATCTAGCTTTTTACAATTTACAAGGCCTAATAAAACTACAAAAATAATTACTAGCACATTTCCAATGAAATAATTGATAGTGACATAAGTACAGATATGTATTCGATGCTTACGAATTAGCTAAACTATCTACAGCAGTGTTTCCCAACGTAGGGCCCACGCCCCACAGGGGGCAATCGAAACCAGCTGGATATAACACAACGTGGAGAATTGAGACTGAAGCTAACTAAATTGGAACCCAATATAAAATCTCTGTGCCGCAAGCATCAAGAATCTCACTTAAATGAATAAAGAAAAATCTTTAATAAAATTATTTGATATTTGAATTTCTTTATTTTTTGAAAATTTACTTAATGTTTTGTTAACAATTTCATATTATAGACCTATCATTTAAATTTCTTAAGTGAACAATTCAATTTTTTAATATATAAATTATGTATGTTATATAGTCAAAAGAATTTTAGCTAAGGTGGGGCATGGTACAAAAAAGGTAGGGAAACACTGATCTACAGGATACCTGCATTCGTATACTGCGCACATACTTTCATAAATCAAAGCTAAAATGTTCCTCAAAAGCATAGAATCGGCAAGTATCCTTCTTGCAGCAATAACTTAGTATTCTAAACGTGGCGCGTTAAGGTTGTTAAGGCTGTTCACGCCGAGACCGCAACAAGAGAGACAAAGACAGGCGCGAGCGTCACTTGTTTTTAAACTTTGTATGGAGCAGACAGTACCGTGAGACCGAAGACAAAAAGACGCCTCTGAAGAATATGACGACACGTCTTATTCAGCTGATTAACATCCGACAGTTAGTTATACTATTTACACTAATAGCGTAAATGGTATTAGCTCAAAAAGGGCTCAAAATTGGATATTAATTAATATCACAGTGTAAATTTAGTACACAGTAATACATAATAACAACTCCATCGAAAGAGTACAATACTGTTGTGGCTTTGTTTGTGGGATTAACCCACAGAACATGCAGAAGGCACCAAGACATCCGTCGTGGTTTGTTGTCTCTGTACCTGGTCTCGGTCTCATGTCATGGCCGCAGCGCGAACCGCCATCTCTATATATGATACGACAATTAGGGCCTACTAATAAGGCCGTTTTGTTATCGACATCTACAAATAATCATCATACTGATAATTAACATAATCTTTGATATGAACTCGCACAATGTATATACGTCGCAGCCAACTAGCTTAATTAGCCGTTCAATTAACAGCCTAGCCGTTTAACTAAACGGCGCCATTTAACTAGTGGCCTGAAAAATGTTCAGCCAGTTAATCAAACAGCTAGGCAAATGACTTGGATCGATGACGTTTCATTACTTTTCTAGCCTGTTGACTGTTAATTTAAATTTAATTCCACCTTCTGCCACTCTCAAACTCGAAACGAAACTCTTCAAACCGTCAATATGACGTCGGCAAACCACAACTTTGATAGTGTTTTCCAGTTTCATGAAAAACAACAAGAGTGAAGTGACAATAATAATGTGAATTTCACTCAAGCAATTCAATTTTAAAAGAAATATTTATGTCTGTCAAATAATGACTCTATCGTACGAAAGGCCTAAGCATTAGCCAGCCAGTTTATTAAATGTTGTAACAAACTCTACGGCTGAATATCTTTCAGGCCGTTAGTTAAACGGCGTCGTTTAGTTAAAAGGCTAGGCTGTTAATTGAACGGCTAATTAAGCTAGTTGGCTACGACATATAAATTAATTGATTTAGAATATATGTTAAAGCTATAAGCAATACAACTTTGGGTTTGCGTTTCTCTATTATTCAATTAAAAAGGACTGATGGGATCCTTCTTTTATTTTTCTATAATATTGGATTTTGTTTTAATTTTGGTAATAGTATTCGATAACAAAGTGGCAGTAAAATGAATCACAAACTTACTTACAGAAATAAAGATAAAATTGTCATGACATTTTTTAAATATGCCAAAACATATTTAATGCAAAAATCTGTTTAAGTTAGCTTACATGTACTGGTCCATATTAATGACCATGAAATACGCTATATTTTAAATTATTTATACATATCTGGCCATCAGGAGGCCTAACGTGAAGATAATTAATACCTGCCAAGTTCCTGACAGGTCAACTTATAGTCGAGGTTTGTCAGGGTTTAATTTGTATCATGAAACCATTTGTGACTGACCAGTTAGATCATCTCTCGCTTTCGCTTTATTGTTATTATTTTCTCTGGGCAAAAACATAACCGGTGAGAGAATGACAGATTGTCGCCGGCTTTGTTCGTTTGAAAAAAGGACAGTTAAATGGTCAGCAAGTCGTCATGTGAGGCCCCCAGATAACGGTAACTTATTTTCCAAATTTAAAATGTAATTATAATAATACGGCTTGTTTTTTACAGAGTACAGTAAACAAATCATAAACAATAACTTTCCGCACACGTTTAGACGTCTATATTCCACAGATAAGTAAGTTAATAGATAATTCATCACGTCTCTGATTGTGTTAAGAGGATTTGAAGAAGAGAAAGTGTTAACAATGTTATACTTAATGTAGGCGCCACGGCTGAACTTCGCACTGTAACAAACAATAATTATTATTCAAGTTAATGGAAGAACTTGTAATTATGCTGTGAATATAGGATGAATCTTTGAGTATTTAAGAATCTCGTAAAAGTTTGGAACACTTGATTTTGACTCTAAGTGTCTAGGGGAGAGAAAATGTTTGTTTACGTGGGTTTTATCCTACAACTTTTATGTCAGATAAAACTTGTTAATTTAAACTTGAAACGACTTAACAAGTAGATTAGATTTTCTTTTCCAGCCCTGCGATTCTGTAACTCACTTTTCGAACTCACACAGCGGTTTTCGCATCGGCGGTCGCTCTGAAATCAGTCGTGAAGCAGTTATTTAATGATTTGGCATTCTGATAAACAATAAACTACAAGCTCCCACCTTTTCAGAATGCCAAATCATAAAATGACTGCTTCACGACTGATTTGAGATCGACCGCCGATGCGAAAACCGCTGTGTGAGTTCGAAAAGTGAGTTACAGAATCGCAGGGCTGAAAAAACATTTTTATTCCCAAGAACTATTTATCCTAGAGCACTAGAGAACTAGAGAACTAATTCCCAAGAACTAAGAAGCCTATTTAGCTAGAACCAGCTAAATCATTTGTATTTTGCAAACAAAAAATTTTTTTTCAAAAATAAATTAATAAGCTTCCAATACGAAAACTGAATTACATCGCTTGTGATTGGTCTATATTGTCGTGACCTAATTGGTCAAGAAACTCGATCAAACGTTTAGTTTTTTAAAAATGTAGTCTAGTACGAATATATAACATGATAAACAGTCCACATAGAATTTCAGCATTTCCATATTATCTTAAATTGTATATTCAAGTACGTGCTTTAAATCGAGTATCGTTGTAACTTGGTTGACAAGTTACTGAGGAGCACACGTTTGTTAGTTTCACACAATCCAATAACATTCAAATCTAGCCGACGTGTTCTGAATATTAAGTTAAGTAAAATTAAGTTGTGTTGTGTGAAATGATAATAGGGTGATAAGATAATGGATGTCACTCATAAGAAATATCTTCCAGGTATTCAGTATTAGGGAGATTTTTGTTTTTATAAAAAGAGAAGAGCGGCCGGTACATAATCCTAATTTGTCAAAAATAAAATCCAAAAACAATAAGTTGTAGGTATATTTGGTATAGGTGTATATTTAGACGACTCATTTGTCTAGTGGTTAGTACCCCTGACTGCGAATCCATGGGTCCCGGGTTCGATCCCCGGCTGAGACGAACATCGATGTGATGAGCATTTGGTGTTGTGCTTAGGTCTTGGGTGTTTAAATATGTATTTATATGTCTATCTATCTATCTATGTATGTATATCCGTTGCCTAGTACCCATAACACAAGCTTCACCAGCTTAGCATGGGACTCGGTCAATTGGTGTGAATTGTCTTTATAAAAAAAAAATATGAGTCAGTGAAAAGCTTTCAGTAAATAATGAATAAAGAATTACTATTCTTTAATACAGTAATACCAACAAGCATGTAATTTAATTACGCTTATTTCATAACCTCAGCTAAATGCTGTAATATAAACGGTTTTGTGAATACAGTCAATTTCTGAATTCATTTCGCTGAAATATCGTGAAATTATGAACTGTGATTAAATATAATAACACTGTATTTGGAATTGAAAATATCAGTCTCGGGATGGAAATTAGGGAGATATTTTCAATTATTTCCCGGAGAGTGTCGTTCAATCATGGGGTAAATGGACAGAGAGGCGTTGGTTTAATTCGAATCTTGAGATCCTTGAACGTTTTTAGGTAAATTTCTTTAAACGACCTCTTTTGAAATTACAAAAATATACATTAATATAGACGCAGGTGTTAAAAACATACCTACTGTTGACTGAGAAAATTGTGTTTGAATGTTTTATTTATTTATTTATACTTTATTACCTTATTCAAAAACATACACATAAAAAAATAAAAAAGCAGGTTACAAAAGTTATAAGGCAATGGGCGGCCTTATCGCAAACAAGCGATTTCTTCTAGGCAACCCGAATGTGGAACAATGAGAAAGAAACACCTACAGAGGGTAGAGGACAAGAAATGAAAAATTATTAACAAAAAAAACACGTACTATAACTAAAATAAAATAAAATCTAAAGAAAAATAACAATAATCATAAATAAAAATATGTATAAACAAAATTTTTAAAGCCAATCAAAAGGTTAACCGAGTCACAATAATTAATTTATATAAGCCGAGCTAACTACGAGGAAATGATCAAAAAGAAGCTTTGTGATGTGAGAAGACTCAAAGTGAAATATTTTAGCTTTTTGGAATTTCTTTAAAACCTTCAATAATTTTTATAATTTACTTCAATAATTCTCTAAGCTTAACACCGGTAAGAAACTCCCACTCTATAAAGTTTTTCTTCTACAAATTTGGATTTGTCAAGCATGTTGTAATGGTTTCCAATTATATAATGGATTCTTCACATGACATAATGAAGCAATGAGTTACTCTTACATTATAGTATAAATAACACGTTAACAGATACATACCTAATAACATGGCCTCTTTACTATCCGCTACTTGGCTATTACCAACCACGGCTTCACTGCCTTCCCGCCAAGCAGGAGCCACTCTGGCCGTGCATTTGACTTGCATGGTTTTCCCCGTTGGCACCAGCAAGCCCAAGGCTGTTGAAACCAACCCATGCGCGTGCTGGATTGGTGGGTATTGGACCAAAAGATTTGGGTCAGTCACCTGAATAGAAAATGGTGATTTTTAAAAACTATATATCATACGGGTAAATTAGATTTGTCATCACAATTAATTGGGAAAACTAGCTGTACTGCAACTCAACAATCACTTACTGACTAATGGCTGACCTAAGAACGTGGAACTAATTTCTTTTGTACAAAAGATTTTAAATCGCAAAAAAGGGTGCGTGTACTTATGTACGCGCGTAAGAAGTTATACTTCTTTGGCATTATTAAAAATAGTTTTTCATTGCATGCAAATAATTAATTACAATTAAATAATCAAAGACCGGAAAAGGAGTCATTATAGTCAATAAAGTTCAGTTTACATTTGAGAAATTAAATAAATAAATATTTATTTTTATTCTCTTACAGTAAGTGTAACATAAATTCTATTATTATTCGAATGTTGTTTTTAAATTATGTCCAATGCCGTAGCATCTTCCATGGGCAACTTCATTCTGTTAATTTTATATCACGGTGCGCGCGCATCGTATAATTTCACTCTCATCAATTTTTCATAACGCGCCTAAAGAAGTATAACTTCAAAAATAGTCTCATATAAAAAATACTATTCAATTATATCAATTCATATTAATAAAATAATAATATATCTATCTACCAAGATATAAAGAGGATTCAATTATTGTGTCATAACGTTTTTTTATCAAAAAAGTTGAACTGTTTTTTATAGCTTTTGATGGCTACGCTAATAAAAGGATAGAAACAAAATAATTATCGCTGTAATATTACAATAATATGTTTAATATAAGCGCAATTCATAGAACGTTACCATATAAAATAAATATGCATCTTATCTATGTAATATTAATTTAAATATGACCATTTTGGTTTATCAAGCGCAGTTTTTAAATCATAATACGGGCAATATATTTTTTATTTAAACTATTTTCTAATCAACGTCAAAACAACTAGAAAGCAAAAGTGAAAATATCGTAAAAATATGACATAAAATATGAGAGGCATGAAAATGTACACAAAATAATTTTCATTAGGCAACCAAAGTTCTTGAGAGTCTAATTAAATTCTAAGAAAATTGGAATATTTTTAACGTTTCACCGTTGCTATGGAGTTAAGTCAAACTCAATTAAGAGTAAGATTATTTTTATGTAATTTCGTAAATGTCACTTTAGGTAGCTTTTAAATCAAAGTTAAAATCAAATATTATTATTTGTAAATTCCAGTATACATAAACGTTGTTCCAACGTACGGCAGCTATAGTAAAAGTAGATTGCTTTTTGTTAACTATAAATAAGTGTAATTGCACTCTTTACTTCTATCAATTTAAGTTTCTATTTAGTTTTTACTGTTATTAGTAACAGTAAAAAGTATTAGTAACAATGTCTAATATGTATTTTACACACATACACATTTTTTGATGTGTATGTGTGTAGAATTTGTAATATATTTTCTTGTTGTTTTAGGACTTAGAAATAAAAACTGTAATAACGCTGTAAAAGTAACCCAAATGAGTGCTTTGCTTAAAAAGATCTTATGTTCCTTGAAAATATATTTGACTTTGTTATATATTATGGTTTTTGTAATAAAAATTATCTAGAGACGTATATAATACTAGGTAGCGGGCTTTTCTGCTTAACAAAAATTTATGGTATTTTTATATTTCGTAACATTAATGTTTACCAAAATTGTCATTTACTTTTGATATTATAACATATACCGTAGATATAGTATTATGTATGATGTGGTAAACTTGAATTTCTGGAAATAATAGTAAGTGATTTCTGTATATGTTTAGGTTAAATACAAAAAGGAATAAATATTAAGAAATTATTATAATGGGATAAATATATCCGTCACACACTTGAAGGCGAATACTCTTGAAGAAGAGTTTTGTTTACATATTACATAGTCAACCTACCTTTTCACCATCAATATCCCAACTGAGCACCGCACCAGGGTACGATCGCCCAGAGGTGCAGTTTAGGAAGAGAGAATCTCCTACTCTATTTTCTTGCTCATTCCCAGTTATTCTCGGACCCTCTCGTGGTAGATCTAAAAAAACAACAGTGATAGTTGTTTTAAATCAAATAGATACAAAATTATTATTTTTGGAACGAGGTGCAAACGGGCAGGGCTCATCTGATGTTAAGTGATACCGCCGCCCATAGGTACTTTCAATACCGCAGGTGTCGCGAGTGTGTTGCCGGCTTTTTACCTGAATGATGAAGGACCCTAAGTCGAAATGGTTCGAAAATACTTCAGTGGACAGCTGGTTCCACTTAGTGGTAGTGTATGGCAATAACTGTCTTAAATAACGCAAAATATTTTTACTGTAAAAATTAAATTAAAATTAAACATAAGTATCATGTTGTCTTACATATATCTATATTTATGGTTTATATAGATAATATTATTCTCTTACACGATGCTTGCTTGTAACATCACAGGAGAAAGGACAACTTCGTATATTGTTCCACGCCTTGTTTACCCTCAAATCTTAAAATAACACCCGAAAATCAAAAGGGTAATTAAAAGGGTTTTTTTAGCCAACCTGGAATTTGATTATTGGTTGGTGATATCAGCCAAGCGTTTGATAAGGTATGGCATGACGGCCTCCTGTTCAAGCTAAAGAAGCATCTTCCACATTGTCTATTCCTAATATTGAAATCCTACTTAGAGAAAAGATGCTACCAAGTGAAGTACGGCGATGATCTCTCAGAAGTACACGAATAAAATCAGGTGTCCCTCAGGGTAGTATATTGGGCCCTATACTATACCTCATTTTTACAGCAGACATCCCAACAACTAACTACACCACGACTGCGACATACGCTGATGATACGGCGCTTCTGTCGGCTCATAGCAACCCAGAAACGGCATCATCACAGTTGCAAAACCACCTGATAGAAGTTGAGAGGTGGCTGAAGCATTGGAGAATTAAAGCCAACGTTTACTCTTAGGAGAGAAACATGTCCTCCGGTAACGCTAAACTGCAAAGTTATCCCTCAAGAAAATAACGCAAAATACTTGGGCATGCACCTAGACAGGAAACTTACATGGCAAAAACATATTTGGACAAAGCGCAAATAACTGGATGGAAGGCTGCGGACACTGAACTGGTTACTGGGACGCAAATCACAACTTAATCCTAACAGCAAGATGCTAGTGTATAAAACCACCTTAAAACCAATCTGGACTTACGGGATACAACTGTGGGGAACGGCTAGCAACAGTAACATAGATATCTTGGAGAGATTCCAGACCAAAGCTCTGAGAACAATGTTTGGCATCCCACATTGTATAAGCAATAGGTACATATACCTCGACCTCGGCCTAAAAACAGTTCGACAGGAAATAGCTCAAAACAGCCTGAAATACCAGGAGAAGCTGACCTCCCATGTAAATAAACTGGCACACGCTCTGAGCGGAGAAGGCGGACTTCAGTATAAGCGGCTAAAAAGAAGGGACGTACCGAGCCTATATAAAAGATTTACCTCTTAACATCAAGAGAGTCGTGGCTCTATGTCGAGTATGGCTCTTGAGGATAACATGAACTGAGTAAAATCAAACAAACAAGTGGCTTATTGCTGGATAGCAGATTGCCATGAAGCAGATACAACAAAAAAAAAAATGTAATAGGACGAACACGAGGCTCACCTGATGTTATGTGATACCGCCGCCCACGGTCAACCCACATTGCAAGGAGGCTTTGAAGTGCGTTGCCGTCCTTTCAAGAATTGGTACGCTCTTTTCTTGAAGGACCGTAAGTCGAATTGGTTCGAAAATACTTCAGTGGGCACATAGTGGTGGTGCGCGGCAAATACTGCCTTAAGAAACGCACAGTTGTGGAATGACGAAACTATAGATATCCGGCTGTGACTGTTTGCTACATTATTATATAATAATGTAATAAATTCGCTTTTAAATCCGTTAAAGAAGTTTTACTAAACGATACTATCATTAATAGTTTGATAATTTTGGACCGTGTTTTCCCACTATATATATCTTTCACCATACCAGCGTTTTGAGCATAGAAATAAAAAGGGGCATTCCTGGGACTCAAACGTTCCACCTCAGGCTTGAAAAATACTATATATATAATATAATTCAATATTAACCACTCAATATTCACTCAGAGAGGCCTGTAATAAGTAGGAAATCTTTGGATCGTTATTAGAAAATAATTCCATAAATCTAATTTTACATTAAATGCAATAAGATTATAACAAACGTACAAAACTTGCCCCATTTGCAAAGACGTATTGCGTTTTCAATGGTAAAATTATACGATCATTATTGCGCTCAATTTCATATACTGAAAGTTCAATTTATCATCGAAATATGACAAAGGGTTTGTACACAAGTGTACTGGATTGCTGACAAAAGAATCTTAAGATAGCTTTAGCAATTTGTGCGAGATGGTCAGGATAAAATGTGCTTTGCGAACCTTTCAACGGGATTTACTCTCTTAACTCAACGACTTTCTTGGTAACAAGTTGAAATGCATTTTGGTAAGTACTCGGGATTATTGAAACCAATTACCGTCGTATAAGTTTTTTTAGTTCAGGATATTTATATATAAAACGTTTGTTAACAGAAATGTGTGATATTTTTATTATATTTAACAGGTGGGAAACGGGCAGGCTCATCTGATGGATTGCCAGAAGTGTCGCAAGTGCGCGTTGCCGGCCTTTCCGTGCGTTTATGGTTAATCCAACCAATCCATAACAATAATTATTTAATCGAAAATATATCGAAGTTACATTATGTGACATCCACTAAGCGACAAAAGCGATAGATATTGAACCACTATTCAAAAATCACCATCCAAACACCATCAATAATATTGTATTGTTAATGTTGTTTTTATGATTACTTATGATAATCAACACTTCCAATATTTTTCAGTCTTGAAAGACCAACGACGCATTCAAATTTTGATCCAGTAAGACGATTTTTTTTATTCATATATATATATATTTCCCTTCCATACATAATCTATTCCGTACTGTATTTTAGTTTTGAATTATGTAAGTCTCCGGTCAAATTTTAGCTACGTAATGAATCTTTTCATATCTAACATTATGCAGTAGAATGTTTTGAGATAATATAACGAAATAGTTTCCGGGAACACAATTTCCATAAAGCAATTCTCGACTGTGTTATTGCGTGGTTTCTCTGAATGAAAAATAACCCCATTTATGTCTCGTAATCTTTATTGGTAGAAACAATTGTTATTGTTTTATCTAAAGGATATTACGGCCGTATTGATCAATACATTATGGTCACGTATTGCAATACTGATTTCGCAGGATTTAAATTGAATGCGCTTTATTTAATTATAATCAATATAAATCTAATCTAAATTACTAGGCATGACTTTCTGAATCTCTACATGTTACATGTTCAAAACAACTCAGAGTGCGTTGGTAACAAAGCGTCGAAAGATATTTTTTACCTGTAACCGTCTTAGGTTGTTTCCTTATCTGTCCTGGAAATCCTAAACTACTTAGCTTCTTACTTTAAAAAATATTTTAAAGAGAAATTATTCTAGTAGTATGAGTACATACAGGAAAATAAAGTGCACTAATAAAGTGCAAGGCTAAAACCTACCTTTAGTATCGATTTAGCCATCTAAAATAGAAGTCTGAACATGCAACAGCTTATGCAAAACACGGAATAAAATTACACAAAGCCTTTTGTGTTTCCTGCTTTAAATTAAACAAAATTGTAATTTAAATTACCATACAACTTTTTATTATATTTTAAGTTGGTTTATAATAACAAAAGAATTGGTATTATTTTGTTTCCAAGTTTTCTACTTCTACTTTTATTTTAAAAAAGGAATCTACATAGTATATAGATCATAAATTAACTTATCATGATGTAGAGAGCATTTTCACAGTATTGTATCATCGTTTATGGAACGTGCAATTCTCGCAATACCTGGTTGGGTTATAGCGCCACTGCTTTTCGTTTATATTGATTGCAAAACTACTTAAAAATGTATAATGAATGTTAGACACCACAGGAAACCGAAGAGCTGGCAGCTACCTCGGACAGAGAATTAGTCTAGCTGTTCGAAGGGGAAAGGTTCCCAGTATCTTCGGGACCTTGCGTTAAGGGACTCATTTTAATAATATATTTTAGGTTAGTTATTGCTTTTATTGTTCTTTTTTTGTGTTGTTCCTTCTGTTATAATAATTAGTGTCAGACATTTGATCACAAAAATAAGGTACGCCTTTTACCCTATTACGGCTCTTCATATATTATATAATCTGGATTATTATATCCATAATTATTACGGCATTATCCACTGTGGTATACTAACATAAAGTTAACAAGCCTACTCGTGTTCTATATGGGAAAGTCTCTATATGTAACGAAAACTAAATACTCTCTCGGCACATACAGACTTATATTAGTAAATACGAAATACATTGTACGTAGCAACACTATCAATAGCTATATACTACGAACATAACAAGCTTGATCATGTAGGTGTACATGTAAGCCAATATTTGCCCGCCCTGACACTTGTTGCTCAACAAATGTTTTGCTACGAGATCGTAACCAAACGAATCGGTCGAATAGTTTCATTTCTGCAATATAATAGTACCAATAATACGAGAGAAACTTCGTAGACAATGTTCAACAAAAATTTAATAGATGTCTGTCTTACCAAAACTTGCAGTCAATTTAATAACATAATAACAATAAAACAGTATTTCGTAAAGACACGTTCACGTTTATAAGTGTATTTGTTTATATGAATAACGTTATTTTGAGTTTGACGTTTTAAATAACCAATCAAAACAGTAAACGTTGGTTTCGAATTTCGATTGAATCAATCATTAGAATTAGATCATTGTTTACGATTCGTAGAACCCTTTAGCTAATTGAGCCATTACGGCTTTTCATACATAATTTAAATAATGCTTTGTTTTGATATAGGCTTAGCATAAAAAAATTATGGCCCTTCAGCTCCTGGTCCTGATCTAGCCACTTGGCCAGTAGATGCTGACCCTTCTGTGCCTAACACACAATATTGAATCTTAGGCGTGTGATATTTACCTACATTGTTTAAATATTACTTGCACAGACAGAAAATTCCACAGGTGTACTACCGGGATTCGATAGTACGAGTTGCGTACCTAGCCTTATAGATATGTATTCAAATAAAACAAGGGAGATTTAATAAATTGTTTTATTTCAACCAAGTTTTGATAGTTGACTAACTACAATACGGTTGAACAACCAAAGCTTCGTGCTAAGTATTTACAATGTTTTTACAAATAATTAAATATTCGTTAGTTTAAAAATGATGTTTTAGTCCAATTATAAGGGTTTAAAGGATTTAAAGATTTTGCCTTGCAGCGGTACTAAGAGTCGTTTATTAACGGCTTTTTATAAAACAAGACAGTTAGTACAGTATTAGTTTTAACGTTTAAGAAACGAACTCTTGATCAGTTAATAAAAATTATATCCAATTGAAAATTAAACCTAATAATAACCCTATTTCGACTAACGCGCTTCAGATTTCGTTGCTAGGTTCTAGTTCTTTAGATATGCATCGATCACTATAGAGATAATTTAATGGACCATTCTGAGTACCACTGCTTTGTAAAAGTCACCATGTTTTGTTATGACTATAAAGTCATATGCAAAACACTGGTTATCCTATTTTGCGACTTAATCAGAAATTTAGAAGAATATTTTTCAGTTAAAATTACCGTTTCATATATTAAAAAAAAAAATAGTAAACCATTTTTTACATACTTTGACTGTCAGTCAGTGAGCAATTTACATTCATATACAAAATTTGTTTGAACTTTAAGTTCTCTAATCAAATATAAATAAAGGTTTCGAATATTTTCAAACAAAAATCATAAAAATGTTAAAATTGCGTAAATTTTGATTGAGCACCAAATTTTAAGTTCAACGTAACATAACTAAGCACACATCTTCGGCGTCTTTGGTCATAAAATAAAAACATGTCTGAATTTCTAAAGGTCAGTACTCACATACGGTATTACTCGACAGTTTTACTCGAAGTCGAGTAAAAATCAACGTGTGGACCGCAAAGCTCACAGCTCGAAGGTTCGATGGAATTAAATGAAAGTAATTTCCTTCGAACCTACTCGAAGCGAGCCGTCAATCTTGACTCGAACGCGGGTACGTGACTGCAAGTGGCGCGAGGCGAGCGTCAGTCTGGTATTGTTTATCGTGATTGAAACACGTGTTTTTAAGAGAAATGGATTTGCGAGTAAATTCCAAAAGCGCTATAGAAGACTTTATTAACACATATAGACAGTGTGAGTGTTTATGGAATGTCAAGTCCAAAGATTACTCCCACAAAATTAAGAGAAATGAATGTTATCATAAATTACTAGCTGTGCTTAAGGTTTTTTCTTTTCATTTTCTTTAATTTTCTTATAAAGCACTGTGAGACTTGCTAAATACATCCACCGTCTCCTTTGTTGCACAGACATCCTTTGGCTCGAACGGTTCGGTGAATACTGAATGGCGCGCCTCACTCGATAGATCAATGCTCAATGTGTGGACGAAAGCCCATGCCATGGGTTTTACTTGACAGTTTAGCTCTATCGAGTAATACCGTATGTGAGTACTGACCTTTAGATAACTTTTAAATATTCCGATAAACAGTTAAAAAGACCCAAATCATAATTAATAGAAATATATCGCTGCTAAAGTTTTAAAAATAGATAACATTTACGTACAGTTACGACTAAAATTGTTATAAAAGAATTATCTAATATTTACACTTACCTAAGAAGGCGATCTAGCTTTTTACAATTTACAAGGCCTAATAAAACTACAAAAATAATTACTAGCACATTTCCAATGAAATAATTGATAGTGACATAAGTACAGATATGTATTCGATGCTTACGAATTAGCTAAACTATCTACAGCAGTGTTTCCCAACGTAGGGCCCACGCCCCACAGGGGGCAATCGAAACCAGCTGGATATAACACAACGTGGAGAATTGAGACTGAAGCTAACTAAATTGGAACCCAATATAAAATCTCTGTGCCGCAAGCATCAAGAATCTCACTTAAATGAATAAAGAAAAATCTTTATTAAAATTATTTCATATTTGAATTTCTTTATTTTTTGAAAATTTACTTAATGTTTTGTTAACAATTTTATATTATAGACCTATCATTTAAATTTCTTAAGTGAACAATTCAATTTTTTAATATATAAATTATGTATGTTATATAGTCAAAAGAATTTTAGCTAAGGTGGGGCATGGTACAAAAAAGGTAGGGAAACACTGATCTACAGGATACCTGCATTCGTATACTGCGCACATACTTTCATAAATCAAAGCTAAAATGTTCCTCAAAAGCATAGAATCGGCAAGTATCCTTCTTGCAGCAATAACTTAGTATTCTAAACGTGGCGCGTTAAGGTTGTTAAGGCTGTTCACGCCGCGACCGCAACACGAGAGACAAAGACAGGCGCGAGCGTCACTTGTTTTTAAACTTTGTATGTAGCAGACAGTACCGTGAGACCGAAGACAAAAAAGCCTCTGAAATATGAAAGTCTTTTCAGCTGATTAACTCGACAGTTAGTTATACTATTTACACTAATAGCGTAAATGGTATTAGCTCAAAAAGGGCTCAAAATTGTTTAATTAATATCACAGTTAAATTTAGTACACAGTAATACATAATACAACTCCATCGAAAGAGTACAATACTGTTGTGGCTTTGTTTGTGGATTAACCCACAGAACATGCAGAAGGCACCAAGACATCCGTCGTGGTTTGTTGTCTCTGTACCTGGTCTCGGTCTCATGTCATGGCCGCAGCGCGAACCGCCATCTCTATATATGATACGACAATTAGGGCCTACTAATAAGGCCGTTTTGTTATCGACATCTACAAATAATCATCATACTGATAATTAACATAATCTTTGATATGAACTCGCACAATGTATATATGTCGCAGCCAACTAGCTTAATTAGCCGTTCAATTAACAGCCTAGCTGTTTAACTAAACGGCGGCATTTAACTAGTGGCCTGAAAAATGTTCAGCCAGTTAATCAAACAGCTAGGCAAATGACTTGGATCGATGACGTTTCATTACTTTTCTAGCCTGTTGACTGTTAATTTAAATTTAATTCCACCTTCTGCCACTCTCAAACTCGAAACGAAACTCTTCAAACCGTCAATATGACGTCGGCAAACCACAACTTTGATAGTGTTTTCCAGTTTCATGAAAAACAACAAGAGTGAAGTGACAATAATAATGTGAATTTCACTCAAGCAATTCAATTTTAAAAGAAATATTTATGTCTGTCAAATAATGACTCTATCGTACGAAAGGCCTAAGCATTAGCCAGCCAGTTTATTAAATGTTGTAACAAACTCTACGGCTGAATATCTTTCAGGCCGTTAGTTAAACGGCGTCGTTTAGTTAAAAGGCTAGGCTGTTAATTGAACGGCTAATTAATCTAGTTGGCTTCGACATATAAATAAATTGATTTAGAATATATGTTAAAGCTATAAGCAATACAACTTTGGGTTTGCGTTTCTCTATTATTCAATTAAAAGGACTGATGGGATCCTTCTTTTATTTTTCTATAATATTGGATTTTGTTTTAATTATGGTAATAGTATTCGATAACAAAGCGGCAGTAAAATGAATCACAAACTTACTTACAGAAATAAAGATCAAAATGTCATGATATTTTTTAAATATGCCAAAACATATTTAATGCAAAAATCTGTTTAAGTTAGCTTACATGTACTGGTCCATATTAATGACCTTGGAATACGCTATATTTTAAATTATTTATACATATCTGGCCATCAGGAGGCCTAACGTGAAGATAATTAATACCTGCCAAGTTCCTGACATGTCAACTTATAGTCGAGGTTTGTCAGGGTTTAATTTGTATCATGAAACCATTTGTGACTGACCAGTTAGATCATCTCTCGCTTTCGCTTTATTGTTATTATTTTCTCTGGGCAAAAACATAACCGGTGAGAGAATGACAGATTGTCGCCGGCTTTGTTCGTTTGAAAATAGGACAGTTAAATGGTCAGCAAGTCGTCATGTGAGGCCCCCAGATAACGGTAACTTATTTTCCAAATTTAAAATGTAATTATAATAATACGGCTTGTTTTTCACAGAGTACAGTAAACAAATCATAAACAATAACTTTCCGCACACGTTTAGACGTCTATATTCCACAGATAAGTAAGTTAATAGATAATTCATCACGTCTCTGATTGTGTTAAGAGGATTTGAAGAAGAGAAAGTGTTAACAATGTTATACTTAATGTAGGCGCCACGGCTGAACTTCGCACTGTAACAAACAATAATTATTATTCAAGTTAATGGAAGAACTTGTAATTATGCTGTGAATATAGGATGAATCTTTGAGTATTTAAGAATCTCGTAAAAGTTTGGAACACTTGATTTTGACTCTAAGTGTCTAGGGGAGAGAAAATGTTTGTTTACGTGGGTTTTATCCTACAACTTTTATGTCAGATAAAACTTGTTAATTTAAACTTGAAACGACTTAACAAGTAGATTAGATTTTCTTTTCCAGCCCTCGATTCTGTAATCACTTTTCGAATACAAGCGGTTTTCGCATCGGCGGTCGCTCTAAATAGTCTGAAAGTTATTTAATGATTTGGCTCTGATAAACATAAACCAACTCCACCTTTTCAGAATGCCAAATCATAAAATGACTGCTTCACGACTGATTTGAGATCGACCGCCGATGCAAAACCGCTTAGTTCGAAAAGTGATTACAGAACGCAGGGCAAAAAACATTTTTATTCCCAAGAACTATTTATCCTAGAGCACTAGAGAACTAGAGAACTAATTCCCAAGAACTAAGAAGCCTATTTAGCTAGAACCAGCTAAATCATTTGTATTTTGCAAACAAAAAATTTTTTTTCAAAAATAAATTAATAAGCTTCCAATACGAAAACTGAATTACATCGCTTGTGATTGGTCTATATTGTCGTGACCTAATTGGTCAAGAAACTCGATCAAACGTTTAGTATTTTAAAAATGTAGTCTAGTACGAATATATAACATGATAAACAGTCCACATAGAATTTCAGCATTTCCATATTATCTTAAATTGTATATTATTCAAGTACGTGCTTTAAATCGAGTATCGTTGTAACTTGGTTGACAAGTTACTGAGGAGCACACGTTTGTTAGTTTCACACAATCCAATAACATTCAAATCTACGCCGACGTGTTCTGAATATTAAGTTAAGTAAAATTAAGTTGTGTTGTGTGAAATGATAATAGGGTGATAAGATACTGGATGTCGCTCATAAGAAATATCTTCCAGGTATTCAGTATTAGGGAGATTTTTGTTTTTATAAAAAGAGAAGAGCGGCCGGTACATAATCCTAATTTGTCAAAAATAAAATCCAAAAACAATAAGTTGTAGGTATATTTGGTATAGGTGTATATTTAGACGACTCATTTGTCTAGTGGTTAGTACCCCTGACTGCGAATCCATGGGTCCCGGGTTCGATCCCCGGCTGAGACGAACATCGATGTGATGAGCATTTGGTGTTGTGCTTAGGTCTTGGGTGTTTAAATATGTATTTATATGTCTATCTATCTATCTATGTATGTATATCCGTTGCCTAGTACCCATAACACAAGCTTCACCAGCTTAGCATGGGACTCGGTCAATTGGTGTGAATTGTCTTTATAAAAAAAAATATGAGTGAGTGAAAAGCTTTCAGTAAATAATGAATAAAGAATTACCATTCTTTAATACAGTAATACCAACAAGCATGTAATTTAATTACGCTTATTTCATAACCTCAGCTAAATGCTGTAATATAAACGGTTTTGTGAATACAGTCAATTTCTGAATTCATTTCGCTGAAATATCGTGAAATTATGAACTGTGATTAAATATAATAACACTGTATTTGGAATTGAAAATATCAGTCTCGGGATGGAAATTAGGGAGATATTTTCAATTATTTCCCGGAGAGTGTCGTTCAATCATGGGGTAAATGGACAGAGAGGCGTTGGTTTAATTCGAATCTTGAGATCCTTGAACGTTTTTAGGTACATTTCTTTAAACGACCTCTTTTGAAATTACAAAAATATACATTAATATAGACGCAGGTGTTAAAAACATACCTACTGTTGACTGAGCAAATTGTGTTTGAATGTTTTATTTATTTATTTATACTTTATTACCTTATTCAAAACCATACACATAAAAAAATAAAAAAGCAGGTTACAAAAGTTATAAGGCAATGGGTGGCCTTATCGCAAACAAGCGATTTCTTCTAGGCAACCCGAATGTGGTACAATGAGAAAGAAACACCTACTGAGGGTAGAGGACAAGAAATGAAAAATTATTAACAAAAAAAAACTCAAAATAACACGTACTATAACTAAAATAAAATAAAATCTAAAGAAAAATAACAATAATCATAAATAAAAATATGTATAAACAAAATTTTTAAAGCCAATCAAAAGGTTAACCGAGTCACAATAATTAATTTATATAAGCCGAGCTAACTACGAGGAAATGATCAAAAAGAAGCTTTGTGATGTGAGAAGACTCAAAGTGAAATATTTTAGCTTTTTGGAATTTCTTTAAAACCTTCAATAATTTTTATAATTTACTTCAATAATTCTCTAAGCTTAACACCGGTAAGAAACTCCCACTCTATAAAGTTTTTTCTTCTACAAATTTGGATTTGTCAAGCATGTTGTAATGGTTTCCAATTATATAATGGATTCTTCACATGACATAATGAAGCAATGAGTTACTATTACATTATAGTATAAATAACACGTTAACAGATACATACCTAATAACATGGCCTCTTTACTATCCGCTACTTGGCTATTACCAACCACGGCTTCACTGCCTTCCCGCCAAGCAGGAGCCACTCTGGCCGTGCATTTGACTTGCATGGTTTTCCCCGTTGGCACCAGCAAGCCCAAGGCTGTTGAAACCAACCCATGCGCGTGCTGGATTGGTGGGTATTGGACCAAAAGATTTGGGTCAGTCACCTGAATAGAAAATGGTGATTTTTAAAAACTATATATCATACGGGTAAATTAGATTTGTCATCACAATTAATTGGGAAAACTAGCTGTACTGCAACTCAACAATCACTTACTGACTAATGGCTGACCTAAGAACGTGGAACTAATTTCTTTTGTACAAAAGATTTTAAATCGCAAAAAAGGGTGCGTGTACTTATGTACGCGCGTAAGAAGTTATACTTCTTTGGCATTATTAAAAATAGTTTTTCATTGCATGCAAATAATTAATTACAATTAAATAATCAAAGACCGGAAAAGGAGTCATTATAGTCAATAAAGTTCAGTTTACATTTGAGAAATTAAATAAATAAATATTTATTTTTATTCTCTTACAGTAAGTGTAACATAAATTCTATTATTATTCGAATGTTGTTTTTAAATTATGTCCAATGCCGTAGCATCTTCCATGGGCAACTTCATTCTGTTAATTTTATATCACGGTCGCGCGCATCGTATAATTTCACTCTCATCAATTTTTCATAACGCGCCTAAAGAAGTATAACTTCAAAAATAGTCTCATATAAAAAATACTATTCAATTATATCAATTCATATTAATAAAATAATAATATATCTATCTACCAAGATATAAAGAGGATTCAATTATTGTGTCATAACGTTTTTTGAATCAAAAAAGTTGAACTGTTTTTTATAGCTTTTGATGGCTACGCTAATAAAAGGATAGAAACAAAATAATTATCGCTGTAATATTACAATAATATGTTTAATATAAGCGCAATTCATAGAACGTTACCATATAAAATAAATATGCATCTTATCTATGTAATATTAATTTAAATATGACCATTTTGGTTTATCAAGCGCAGTTTTTAAATCATAATACGGGCAATATATTTTTTATTTAAACTATTTTCTAATCAACGTCAAAACAACTAGAAAGCAAAAGTGAAAATATCGTAAAAATATGACATAAAATATGAGAGGCATGAAAATGTACACAAAATAATTTTCATTAGGCAACCAAAGTTCTTGAGAGTCTAATTAAATTCTAAGAAAATTGGAATATTTTTAACGTTTCACCGTTGCTATGGAGTTAAGTCAAACTCAATTAAGAGTAAGATTATTTTTATGTAATTTCGTAAATGTCACTTTAGGTAGCTTTTAAATCAAAGTTAAAATCAAATATTATTATTTGTAAATTGCAGTATACATAAACGTTGTTCCAACGTACGGCAGCTATAGTAAAAGTAGATTGCTTTTTGTTAACTATAAATAAGTGTAATTGCACTCTTTACTTCTATCAATTTAAGTTTCTATTTAGGTTTTTACTGTTATTAGTAACGTAAAAGAGTATTAGTAACAATGTCTAATATGTATTTTAAACACATACACATTTTTTGTGTGTGTTGTGTAAACTTGTAATATATTTTCTTGTTGTTTTAGGACTTAGAAATAAAAACTGTAATAACGCTGTAAAAGTAACCCAAATGAGTGCTTTGCTTAAAAAGATCTTATGTACCTTGAAAATATATTTGACTTTGTTATATATTATGGTTTTTGTAATAAAAATTATCTAGAGACTGTATATAATACTAGGTAGCGGGCTTTTCTGTCTTAACAAAATTTATGGTATATTTTTATATTTCGTAACATTAATGTTTACCAAAATTGTCATTTACTTTTGATATTATAACATATACCGTAGATATAGTATTATGTATGATGTGGTAAACTTGAATTTCTGGAAATAAAAGTAAGTGATTTCTGTATATGTTTAGGTTAAATACAAAAAGGAATAAATATTAAGAAATTATTATAATGGGATAAATATATCCGTCACACACTTGAAGGCGAATACTCTTGAAGAAGAGTTTTGTTTACATATTACATAGTCAACCTACCTTTTCACCATCAATATCCCAACTGAGCACCGCACCAGGGTACGATCGCCCAGAGGTGCAGTTTAGGAAGAGAGAATCTCCTACTCTATTTTCTTGCTCATTCCCAGTTATTCTCGGACCCTCTCGTGGTAGATCTAAAAAAACAACAGTGATAGTTGTTTTAAATCAAATAGATACAAAATTATTATTTTTGGAACGAGGTGCAAACGGGCAGGGCTCATCTGATGTTAAGTGATACCGCCGCCCATAGGTACTTTCAATACCGCAGGTGTCGCGAGTGTGTTGCCGGCTTTTTACCTGAATGATGAAGGACCCTAAGTCGAAATGGTTCGAAAATACTTCAGTGGACAGCTGGTTCCACTTAGTGGTAGTGTATGGCAATAACTGTCTTAAATAACGCAAAATATTTTTACTGTAAAAATTAAATTAAAATTAAACATAAGTATCATGTTGTCTTACATATATCTATATTTATGGTTTATATAGATAATATTATTCTCTTACACGATGCTTGCTTGTAACATCACAGGAGAAAGGACAACTTCGTATATTGTTCCACGCCTTGTTTACCCTCAAATCTTAAAATAACACCCGAAAATCAAAAGGGTAATTAAAAGGGTTTTTTTAGCCAACCTGGAATTTGATTATTGGTTTCATAAATTTAAGATAAATGTAATATTATGTATAGCGTTCTGTTGGTTACAATGTTTTCGTTTCGTTTTTGTATTAATTGAGAGCAGTGTTAGCATAGCGGCTTAAGCGTGCGACTCTCATCCCTGAGGTCGTAGGTTCGATCCCCGGCTGTGCACCGATGGACTTTCTTTCTATGTGCGCATGTTACATTTGCTCGAACGGTAAAGAAAATCATCGTGAGGAAATCGGCTTGCCTTAGAACCAGAAAATCGAGGGCGTGTGTCAGGCGCAGGAGGCTGATCACCTACTTGCTTATAATACAAATGATCATGATTCAGAAATCTGAGAGCTAAAAAGGTTGTAGCGCCACTGATTTATTTATTTTTTGTATTAATTGTATTTTTTTAACTCTTTAGTTTATAAGGAATTGAACAATTTGTACTCTGGTGTAGCCCTTCAGGCACCAAGGATAAAACACTGAAAATGTTGAGAAAATGAAAAACGAATTAATGTAGAAAGTTGACAATACTTTTATTGTTTTTCGAAGTAATCTCCGTTCCTCTCTACACATCGTCGCATTGGAACCACTGAGAAAAGCAGTGGGCCCATTCTCTCTAAGGGGTCTCCTCTATGGCATTTTCGTACGCTTTCACCGCATCTTCAGGGCTCCTTAAGCGAATACCTCGAATTTTATCAATAGTTTTGGGTTCGTAGTAATATATCCAGCTTTCATCACATGTGAAATACAGCATTTGAGTCACCGCCGTCGAATTTATCTAACATTTGGCGACACTAGTCCATGCGAAGGTGTTTCTGGTCGTCGGTCAAAGTATGGGGCTTCCTGACGGCTAAATGTTCGTGTAATATTTTTTGAACTTGACTCATACCAATGCCTAGGCTTGCCCGTATCTGCTGATAGGTCACTCTCTTATCTTCCTCTATCATGCGTCGCACAGCACTGTTGTTATCTTTAGTAGTCGCTGTTAAAGGACGTCCCTCACGCGGATCATCATTGAGATTGCTACGTCAATCTGCTTCTCGTTAAATTGTAAATCGTGGCACAAGATGGGGCTTCATTAAGAAATGCCTATCGCAGCCTATCATAGCTTTGTTGTTGAGTAAACCCACAACGAAAGTCATAATAAATCATTGGCCGAAAATTTTCTCGCGTTAGGATCATTTTCACGTGTAACAAGAGTTTTAGATTTGCCGCCAATTTACAAAAACAAATGACAAATGAATGCAATATTATACTACATTAGGTTACCAAAGTGTTCTAAAAAAGAAATTGAAATTCAATAAAAGATTTCATTAGCAATGTTTCTTATCTGGCCAGTTCTAAACATGTTCAGTGTTACCCACGTATTAAGTAAAGATGTCGGACGATCGCGTTGAATCTGCGACATATATATTAAGCAATAAAAAAAAATCATTTATGTCATATTCACCAATATGTTTTGTGAAATAAGATTTTTGATCAGAAAATTTGGTTCACCGTAAAAATTTAATCTATTATATTATAAATTCCTATGCACAGGTTTACCCCATTTTCACGATAATAGATTGATTTAATTACACCTATTTATACTTATTCGTCCTAAATATAATGCAATCAGTTTTATTGTTCATTATTCCACACAATAGGCTTTACCATGATAGCCGAAACCAATTATTTCAGTTGATCACACAATATATGTATACTGTGGTATAATGGACACGCAATGCATTATTTCGACAGTAATTATTTTGTTTCTGTAAGCCCATATATCAATGTGCGATTGGAGATTTATGATATTCTGATTGATATAATTGAAGTTGTTAGGGATATGTAATTCATACCGTTAATGCCCTGTTTGCTATTGATTTAGTAAGGTTTTAACAGACCTTTGTTCTGTATGTATTCTTTTTTATAGGCTATTTAAGTAAGAGATTTGTGTAAAAAAATGTATCATAAAAGTTCTATTGGGTAGTGGGCTGAACAATTTTAAAGAAAGCATTGTTAACTGCCTATCTCATACCTAATCCGGTGTATTACTGGTATTTTTTTTTTCTGCTTAACAAAATTTGCTAGTAATTTTACTGTATTTTTTTTCTTGTAACATTTATGTTTAACAAAATTTTCATATATTTTATATAAAAGAGTATGTTACATACTGTAGATATAGTATTATGTATGATGTGGTAATTTGAATAAATAAATAAGTAGTGTTTGTACTGATGTCAAATTAAGACAATTAAATTTATCAACTATGAATTAGTGTAATCTTTATCAGGCATTTAACGGGCAGGAGGGTCACTTGATGATAGTATGAAATGATACTGCCCGCCCATGGATACTCAATGCCAGATGGCTCGCGAGTGCGTTGCCTGCTTTTTGAGAATTGGTACGCTCTTTTATTGGGTACATTGGGTACATAGGGTCCTTCTATGTCGAATTAATTCGAAAATACTTCAGTGGGCAGCTGGTTCCACATAGTGGTGGTGCGTGGCAAAAACTGCCTTAAGAAACGCAAATACCCTCAACGGACATTTTTTTAGGTCTGTGTAAATTTATCTACCCCGATTCACTCAACTACCTAAACCTGAAGTACTTGACATCAGGCGCAGTGTCTGTACGTGCTCATCCAAAGCTCTAACCATTGTTGAGAACGGGGCATGGGCTCGTGTCGGAGGATAAAAGAGATGACCTAATCTAATATATAAAATTCTCGTGTCGCGGTGTTTGTAGCTAAACTCCTCCGAAACGGCTAGACCGATTCTCATGAAATTTTGTGTGCTTATTGGGTATGTCTGAGAATCGGACAACATCTATTTTTCATCCCCCTAAATGTTAAGGGTAGTCCACCCCTTAATTATTTTTTTTAATTTTATAGATAAATTATTTATTATTTATTTTTTTATTATACAGCATTAAAAAATACATACAACCCCTAATTTTCACCCCTCTACGATCAACCCCTATTTTTTATTATAAATGATATACATGGCAAAATGACGTTTGCCGGCTCAGCTCGTATGGTTATAATATTTTTATACTTGCTAACGCTTGCTCGCCACGCCTTGCCTGCTATCCCGATACCGACAAAATCGGTCGTTACATTTTCCCTTAAATGTGCAATATGCATACATAATCGCGTCCCTTTATTATTTGTCCCCTTAAATAATAAAAAAACTTCCTATGTCAGGGCTTTATTCGTATCAAGTTGATATTAAGTTGTGGAGACAGTTTGTCAAACTCCAGCTTAACAATCTTCACCGATTCACAAGTGAAACTTTTCACATCACAAACAATTTTTAATCTAACTCAAGAAACAACTTTGTATTTTAATCTAGACGTGGATTTAACAATATTGAAAACTTTTATAAGAATTGTGGACTTACAAATGACGTCCATTCTTCCCTCGCCGGCGGTGGACGCGAAGCTCGGGGCTTCCGCCGACACTTCACATCTGTATAGACCTGACGACTTCAACGTCACCTGGTGCAACACGACGTGGCGATCGTCCGATTTTGAAAGCTGCAAAAGTGTTTAGCGGTAATTTAGTGTGAGAACTTGATTATTTCTAAATCATAACTTCAAAAGTCCAACGGTCTTAATCCTTAACTGAAGGTCTGGAAAAAACCGTTTATTTATTTGGAAAATGGAGACATTCTCATTGATATAAATAATTAGATTATTACACTGTTTTGTTGTCTCTTTCCTGGTAGTGAAAGCACAATTTGCTAGAAACAGACAATATTGAAATAGTGTAATTAGACCGTAGAGGTAGCATTACCCCTTAAATGCTAATGGGTTAAAAGTACAAAGTCTGTATTGTGGTAACACACATCCATACCTGAAGTCATTGGGTTTGACTACCAACGGATAAATACCGGGTATAGCAAAAACTACAGCTTTTTTTTAGTGTATTGCAAAGTCAAAGTCAAAAATCAATAATTCATGTAGGTAACACAATGTACACTTATGAACGTCAAAAAAATTAATATACATTAAATGCTTCTAATTTTACATTTACTGCCAGTTCTCAAATCAAAGGCGTAGAACGGAAGAGAAGGACTGGCAATAAATTATCCGCCACACTTAATCGCCAAGTTTTTTGTTTTACACAACGTTTGTAAGGAGCTGTAACCATTACACCATGTTCCACATGACATCTTAAGTAATAAATAATATGTGGTTGATATTAATGTTCATTATTATTCGATAGGTGTTTTAATAGCATTGCTGACTTAAAATATTATGTAATACTCATGATTAACAAAATAAAAAGTATATTTATTTTATACATGATATAAATTAGGGGAAAACCAAATAAAGCGCTTTAGGTACTAATGTTAAAAGCACTTTTAATAGCACTGTATTAAAATTTTAAAAAATTCACGTACATTGCAAATTTTGATTCTTATAAATTTTAATCTGTTAATAAAGAGTGAAATACTGCTATGTAAGCCTACAAAATACCTATAATCCTCCGTCGGGACATCAATACACAAAAATTGGTAATCGCATCATAAATCCGAATGTAACTGATTTATTACTGAAATCGGAGCTCGATTTCAAGAGATGTATGTGTTAGCTCTTTGTTTACAGTTGAAAAGTATAGAATTTTAAAATTCTAAAGGCTTATCCGTTAAGGTTCTATATTCTCCTACAATCCTCCGTCAAATTAGTTCCTATATTTTGTCTTTATTTGCGGTGCGTTTTTAGTTTATTTTTACATTGTGTTTGACAATGACTGATAATTAATATATATTTATACATGTATATATTATTTATTCAACCCAATAGATACAGTTGTAATAATTTATCAGAACCAAACAAGCTCGCGGCGTTATTGCAAGCGGCTTTGCGTGTATTAATTCGATAATATGATATTATATATAAATTTATTATCAGATATTTTTTTAACCAGTGGATATAAGGTTTTAGTAGTTATTAGTATTTATATAAAATAAAAAAGGGTGCGTGTACTTATGTACGCGCGTAAGAAGTTATACTTCTTTGGCATTATTAAAAATAGTTTTAGATTGCATGCAAATAATTAATTACAAATAATCCTCTCCCCTCCGGACCGCGGAAGCGCTTGGACGTGTCCACTGTGTTGAGTTTTGTGAGAAATTTAAATTTAAAATCTTAAATTAAAATACTAAATTGAACTATTTGGATTTTTGTGGTTTTGAACCCGTGCCTCTTCGTGGATAGGCTGTGTGGTGGGCGCTGTTGTTTGCCATTACACCAAACGGTTGAGTGCCGGCGAGTCGAAATTCTACATCACATTCGGCTAATGACGTAAGTAAGACTACGACGCTTGTGATTTGCTACGTTACTACATAGCTGTTATACCTGCTACGATCAACTGGTGCGATTGTCTATTGTTGCTTTGCGATATTGAACTCTGGGTTCATTGAAGATATGCCCAATATCCAACACTCACCCCCTCGTAACACTTCTGTGATGTCTTGTTCCCGATCGGAGTCTGATCTTTCGAAGTCTCCGATGACGAGTGCGGGCTGTATTGCCAAGGGTGACACCAATATAACAACGCGCTCCAAGCGACAACGAATGGAGACCTCTTCCCCGAATGCTCATTCTAGTTCCGAAAGTAGCGACTTAAGAGCGGATGTCCTGAAAATGCTTTCTGAATGGAGAGAGGATCAAGAACGAAACCTATGTGAATGGAAGTCCACTCTAAATGACACCTTAAACAAATTATTTTCTGAATTATCCAATATAAAAACTGAATTCCAGGAAATAAAGAAGTCTAACTCAGAAATAGAAAAAGGAATAGAATTTATAAACAAGCTTCAGGAGGAGACCAATGACAGAGTAAAGGAAATTGAAACTAACCAAAAAAATAATAAAAATGCCATAAAAAACTTAGAATCGCATATCCAGGATATACAGTTTCGTACAAGAGATGCATCTCTGGAGATCCGCAATATCCCGATTTCTGAAAATGAAAAGTTTGACAACTTACTCTCGACCCTTTCTGTCATCGGCAAAGCTGTGGATGTCGATATAAATAGGAGTGATGTACGTGACTTGTATCGGCTGCCGGGTAGACCGGGAGTATCAAGACCTGTTGTTGTTGAATTTACGAGTGTTAATGCTAAAAATGATTTATTGACTAAGCTGCGAAACTTTAACAAAGGAAGGCCGGTTTCTGAGAAGCTCAATACTCATACTATCGGGTTGCCAGGAATAAAGACTCCACTTTACATTGACGAACATCTAGGTCCATCTCAAAGAAAACTTATGTTTGAAACCCGTCAATTTGCCAAGAAACATAACTACTCGTGCTGGCATTCAAATGGAAGAATACTTTTGCGTAAGGATTCGACTGGTAGACCGATTTTAATCCAATCAGAAAAATGCTTATCTCAGCTGGCAAAGGAATCATGACTCATTGCATGTAACTGCTTTCTCATTAACCTATATTGCCAATTAACTGTATATTGTTATTTATTTCTATTGATTTACTTTAGTCTTGCTAGTAATAAAATTACCTTAGTCAATTTTTTCATGTTAAGTTCTCGTTTAGTCTATAATGTATTTTCGTTTGAATTTGTATTTGCTCTTGCACTTATTTTAACCTATACTCACACACTCACCGAAATTATACACCACTTACACTCAATATATACAAAGTGTACTCATAGAAAGAATGTAACTGTTAACAACAATCTCTGTCTGTCTTCGTGCCGTGTGTATGTGTATTGTGTTGGTCTCATTTGTGTGGCGTTGTCCCCGGGATTGTGGAATCCTCGTAGGGTTGTGCTGTACCGCGTGCCTTTTTGTCTTACCATAGTTGCGGACTCAATAAATAAAATTCGATAAAACTAATGCAATTATAAATGATATCGATAAACTTGATGTTGCACAATCTTCTCTTTGTGACATAGAGGACTGCCGGAGACTTATGAACTGCCCGAATAAGTGTCTAAAAATTATCCATCAAAACATTCGTAGTATAAATCGTAACTTCTCTGATTTTCAAACCTTATTGTTTAGATCCAGGACTGATTGGGACTTAATAATCTTAACGGAATGTTGGCTGCATAATAATCGTAACTTACCATCTCTTGAGGGATACAACTCTGCTCTAACCGAGAAAAACTTCACACAGAATGAAGGAGTTGTAGTATTTTACAAAGAACATTTGAAATTAGTTATATCCGAGCCTGACCTTTGTGATGCCAACTGTTTACTGATTAACCTTGAGGATAATGTAACACTATTTGCAGTATATAGACCACCTGGTTACAAAGATGTTCAACGGTTTTTGGTATCTCTTGACAAACTTCTTTCTGAGATTAGTAGTACTCATAAAGTTCTGATAGGTGATATCAATATTGATATATTGGATAACAATAAGGATGTTAATTCTTCAACGTATTTGAATATGTTGGCTTCTCATGGTTTATTGCCAGCCCACTTATTTCCAACTCATGGCAGGACTTGTCTTGACCATGTAATACTAAAATGTTCTTATCGCGTCTTCTGTTATGTTGCTGAAACCTCAGTCACGGATCACGACACTTTAATTCTGAAACTTGAACGTAGCACTATGACTGACAAATACTCTTCTCTGAAAAAGATTGATTACCCGTCTTTGGACGATGCGATGAAGAACTTAAACCTAAGCCTTGTATATAAAATGACTGATCCCAATGAGGCAACAGCATTTCTTCTGACTGCGCTTGACACTGTAATTAAAGCAAATACGAAAACTTTAACCATCCCAAATCGTAAAAGGATCAAGAGGCCTTGGATGACTGCAGGTCTACTAAGATGTGTAAAGCATCGTGACAAACTACATCAAAAATCAAGAAAAAATCCTAGTAACGAAATATTAACGTTAACTTACAAGAGGTATAGAAATTTTTGCAACTCACTTTTAAAAAATATTAAAAATACTTATGAGAGAAACCGCCTACTTAAAGCTGCTAAGACTAATACAAAAGTTCTCTGGGACACTATCAAACAACTAACCTACTCCAACAATACAACTAGCACTGCACTTGAATTGGTCTCTCCACTGGACCCGATGGTCTCTGTCAACAACATTAATAAATATTTCGTTTCTATCGGGAAAGAGATTGCCGAAAAAGCATATTCTAGTAGCTCTTATAAAAAACCATCAATCAATCCTACACTGTCCTCATTCGTCATGCTACCTACTGATGTAGTTGAAGTTCAATCTCTTATCTTGCAACTGAAGAAGGACGGTGCTGCGGGCAGAGATAATATTTCTGGAGCCTTTCTCAAACGTTATCATGAAATCTTAGTCCCTCCACTTACATATATATTTAATTTGATTCTTTCTACAGGGATCTTTCCGGACCTATTCAAGCTAGCTGAAGTAATTCCGGTTTATAAAGGTGGTAATAGAGATTGTGTCGGTAACTACCGACCTATTTCTAAACTATCTACGCTATCCAAAATCATTGAGAAATTGATAAACAAACGCCTCATCGATTATTTAGAAAGTAATAACCTACTCTCCAGCTCACAGTTTGGATTCAGACCGGGTTCATCAACAAGCGACGCAGTTCATCAATTAACTGATCATATTGTTACAAAACTAGATAAGAAAAATAAAATTTTAGCTGTATTTTTGGACATTGCAAAAGCTTTTGACGCGGTCGCTGGTCCTATTCTGCTGGATAAATTGGAGGCTTTGGGTATTCGTGGTTTGCAGCTTAAACTATTTGATAGCTACTTGAGTGATAGACAGCAAAGAGTAAGGGTGGGCAACATTGTTAGTGACGATTTGCCGATACGCTATGGTGTGCCACAGGGTAGTGTTTTAGGTCCGACACTGTTTCTGGCATTTATCAATGATCTTTGTGACCTCCAGTTACAAAATGGTAAAATAATAACATTTGCAGATGATACTGCACTTGTGTTTCATGGTGATAGCTGGAAAGATACTGTCGACATTGCTCAAAGAGGATTCGACGTTGTTAACAAATGGCTCAGAATGAATGCCCTAACTATCAATGTCAATAAAACTAAATGTATACCGTTCTATATAAAAACTCCTGGTTCTAGTACTAACCTTGGTTTAACTGCTCATGTATGTTCTGATACTGATTCTTGTGACTGTCAAAAGATCTTTGTTGCCAACAATACTAAGTATCTAGGTGTCGTTGTTGATAGCACGCTAAAGTTTAACTACCACATTGACCTGCTACTATCGCGAACTCGGAAACTTATCTTCACCTTTAAGAATCTCCGTAATATTGCTGAAAAATCGATAATTAAAATGGTTTATCAATCCCTCTGCCAATCCGTTTTAAGCTATTGTGTTACTGTCTGGGGAGGGGCTTGCAAAACTAATCTTATAAAACTGGAGAGGGCTCAGCGTGCGTTATTGAAAGTAAGTTATTCTAAACCATTTTTTTACCCTACCAAAGATCTATATCTTTTATCTGACGTGTTGAGTGTTCGTCAACTATTTATACTGAACACTGTGCTCAAACAACACTCCATAACTCGCTATGATCCTTCTTTGAATGACAACAAACGATGCAAATATAAAGTCTGCACCTCAGATACCCGCTGGTCCACAGCTTTCTCAAGAAGGTTTTTTGGTTTTATGGGCTGTCACCTATATAACAAGATAAACAGGTTGATCAACATATATCCGCTTACTAAATATGAGTGTAAAAAAGCCACAGTCAAATGGCTTAAAAATCTGGACTACGAGGGGACTGAGAAGTTGTTAGTAGTCCTCAGCTAATACCTAACACTAACACGTTATGTATACGAGTACATAGGTACACTATCACCCATGCTCATATATGCTTCACTAAGACATATATACACTAAGTCATAAATTCACTAACACATACATACATTAACACTTACATACACTAAACCATACATGCACCATCACACACACCCACTTAAATGTGAGTATATTTGTAATATTTGTAATAGTCTCTCGATCAAATTGATGTACCTACTTAAATTCCATTCGGTCCGGATGCGGAGGGACTGGCAATCTGTAATACAGGTATCCTAGTACAGTCGCCAGTCTCTCACACAGATTTTGCCTGTTAATGCTGCAATTTGTATTTTGTGTCTGTATTTTTGTGTGAGAGAAAACAAATAAATATTTTATTATTTATTATAATTAAATAATCAAAGACTGGGAAAGGAGTCATTATAGTCAATAAAGTTCAGTTTACATTTGAAAAATTAAATAAATAAATATTTATTATTATTCTCTTACATTAAGTGTAACATAAATTCTGTTATTATTCGAATGTTGTTTTTAAATTATGTCCAATACCGTAGCATCTTCCGTGGGCAACTTCATTCAGTTAATTTTGTGTAACGGTGCGCGCGCATCGTAAAATTTCACTCTCATCAATTTTTCATAACGCGCCTAAAGAAGTATAACTTCAAAATTTTTTATCAAAATTTCGTGACTGTATTTGTACTAAATAGATGGTAAAAATAATAAATAAGGTGAAATAACATATTGAAAAGAACTACAAAAGAAAGGTGAAATCATTTATCTATAAATATTCTAAGGCCGCCCAGACGTTAAGTGATTACTGCGTGCCCATGGACGCCCACGAAGTGCTTTCATCTTCAGCGCGAAAACGATCTTCAAACGATATATTGCTTGAGTGGGCGCTTTTTTATATAGTTAGGAGTCAAGAAAGTTAACATTCAATTACGCTAAATATTCGTTAGTTCGTCATCATACAGGAATGCCGGTTAAAAAAGTGGAATTTGTTACTTTAAAAAGTCGACCGAGTTGAGATTGCTTATTTAATTTCACATCATTGCGAATTTTTGAAACACATAAAGAAGAAAGCTGAATTATATTGATATTTTCAATACAGATTTAATGGAAACGCAAAAATGTTATCCAACAAGAGGCTGCGGGCTAGACAATACAGACGGAAATTAAAGAATAACAAGGGACCCACATGACAAGAAGACTTTATGACAATTTTCGGAATAATATTTTCCTATCATATTTGATATCAAAAGCAATTTCTTATACTAATAACGTAAAGTGCTTTGTAATCAGTAAATTATTAAAGTTATTTACTTTGTGAACAGCAATTGAATTTGTAAGTGGTATTTACATGTTGAAGGTAACAATTTGTTTTAGAAAGCAAGTGTAATAAGGAATTAAATACTAGTTTTATAATTTTATTTTATTTATTTATTTATTCCATATCATTATTCTATCATTACAGTTATTACTAATTCGATAGAACGACACAACATTTATACCCACACCAATTAACCTAGATAAAAAACATTTAAAAAAATATATATATTTATGTTCCTTTCTGGCGGTAGTTTTGATTTGCGTTTCCTTGACAATCTTATTCTTGAAACTCTTATTCGTAAAACTGAATTCTAACACTCCTTTACTATGCAAGATATCCTGCTTTGAAACTCAATACCTCTTGATATCAGACGAGCTGTTTTTAAAAAATCTACTTTTTGAGCATTTTATTTTCTGCCTCGTGATTAAATACCTATATATATTATTTCTGAAAGATTAACCCTAAGATTAGCTTTTACATTTTTGTTCATATTAGTATTTTTATTATTTTTTTTTTAGTTATGGTTAGTGTTACATGTTATTTTTCTGTTTTATATTTTTTTGTGTTTTTATAAGGTAACGAAGTGTAAATAAATAAATATAAGTGAGATAGAAGTAGTACAGTTCTGCTTCTGAGAGGTTGGTTCTGCTCAAATCAAATATCAAATCGATATTTTTTAATAGTCATCTAAAGTAGTTTAAATTGTATGTAACCGGCTAGTCTGTAGATTGACATAAAACAATAAAAATAAACCTTCCGCCGTCGACTTTTTGGGTCTAAGACATGTCGGTTTCCTCACGATGTTTTCCGTCACCGTTCGAGCAAATGTTAAATGCGCACATAGAAAGAAAGTCCATTGGTGCACAGCCGGGGATTGAATCTACGACCTCAGGTATGAGAGTCGTAAGCTGAAGCCACTAGGCCAACACTGTCCGGTGGTTTTTGGTTCTTTTTTTCCCCCAAAGGGCTTTAATTTTTTCCCACGCCAGGGGGGTTTTGGTTTGTTTTTTTTTGGGGGGGGTTTTTTGTCCCCCCCCGGGGGTTTGTGGGCCCCCCCCTTTTTTTTTTTTTTTTTTTTTTTTTTTTTTTTTTTTTTTTTTTTTTTTTTTTTTTTTTTTTTCCCCTTTTTGCCGCCCCCCCCCCCCCCCCCCCCAGTGAGAGTGAGTGAGTTGTGTGCTGCGATATTGCGGGCTATTCGATTGTGAGGAAGTTGCATGGATCTGGTTTGGGCTGCGCCTTCTAAAGTTCTCATGTTATTTTCACACATGTCCTTTCTATAACATATTTCCATAAGTATCTGATTGACCTCCTTGTAATGATGTGATGTTTAAAATTAAATTAAATTAAAAATACAGCACCAAAACAGTTATAGGTATTTGGGCTCGCACGTCGTACAGTGCGGTCGTTGACCTTGGTGGTTCGAGTAGACAATATGTTAAAGTGCTTGCTTAAAGAGCGCCATTAGGGGATGATAACTTAATATGAATATAGTACTTACATCAACTTTAATCCCGTCGAGTTTATACGCGTGTTTTGGCGGATCATATTTCGGCAAATATCTGTAGAACTCCTCATTATCTCTATACCACTTCACTGAGTATAATGTGTCGTCACCCAATTCATACTCGCAATCTAACTGAGCTGGCTGGCCCCTCACACGGTATGTAGGGACAGAAACGCGTACTATTCGTAGTAAAAGACATTCTGAAACAAATGAAATTCTCATTAGTATTGTCTTGAAATACCATTCCTATACAAGTCGTAAGTAAGTAAGTCATGGTGACCGTTACGACTTGTATGGGAATTTAATTTAAACAAAAGAAAAGCTTTTCACTGCCTAAAGCCCGGCAAAGCGCTAACGTTCTGGTGTTGCAGGTGTCCATAGGTGGCGGTAAGAACTTTAAGTGACCCACGTTCTCGTAGCTCACCTGTCCCATAAAAAAATACTAATGGGGTAATGTCATGGTAGGTAACATTTATTTAATTTTTAGTTCAGATGAAACCGAAGATATAATTTTTTTATGGGACACCGGATAGACAATGCAATGCCGAGGGGCTTACCGTGTCCTGACGCTTAACTTAACTTAAAAGCTCCTGAGTTGTTACGGTTCAGTAAATCCGTTAATACCAGGTGCTGTATGCTCGAAATCACGAGCCCAAAAGCACGAAAAAGAAAATCTGATTTTACCTTCAACTGAAAATAATAATTGTTTTGCTGGACACAGATTTAAGACCTACAGTCTATACCGACGCATCACCAACATACTCATGTCAATTTGTAAAATTGGTTCGTAATTCGCTGAACGTTATGGAACAGAATATTTATACACTATCATATTCATTTCATATTTATTTAAAATATTTCATACATACTGTAATAACATTAAATCCAATATTTCGATAAAATAAAAACCGCAAAAAATCGTAAAATTGTAATATTTTGCCGCATTGAGAGTTCTTCTGAAGGACTCGATTGGCGTAATTTTTTGTATAACTCCGAGTCTGCATTTTCAATATTTGATATTTGGTTATATGAGTGTGCTATTTAATAGTGGATTTTATCTAGATAGTCAAATGCAAAACTGAGACAGACATAACATTTATTACACGAAACATACACAAAATAATATTAATAATCAGAAAAGAAAAATAATAAAAAATTATGAAGAGAAAAAACGGAATGAGGTACATCTTAGGTGTGTAATGTGTGTGTGTTGTGGTTGTAACTGGCCCTGGCTCAGACGTGGTGAAGCAGACGAGTTCCACAGCACTGTTCCCTGCCAGAGACTACAACAGTTAGTACGCGGCGCCTCAGACGCAAAAAAAGAAATAATAATAATAGAAAAAAATAATAGTAAAAATTAACAAAAAATACGAATGATTATTACTTAAACTACTATAAGAAATAGATAAATAAATATTTATGCTTTGCTTGTTCATGTTACTGGTCATAAAAACATGGTTTATGTATTAATACATTTTGATTTAAATAGCTACTGATGGCAAATAGTATTTGAAAGACGTCGGTACATTGTATAATATAGAAAAGAAACGCGATGTAATCTATTGTATTCAAATTTAATCACTAATGGTATCCAAAGTTCTGAAGAATGACACGAATTAAATTCATAGAAAAAGTTTGAGTATCGTAAAGATATTGAAATTGCTTCGAAAAGTCTAGTTCAAGAGTTAACTAATTGAACCGACCGTAACTTAAACTTCCTTCGGCTTATCTTACAGTTTTAAGTTTGTCACTAATTGTTCGATGTTCTACAGTTTATCTAGATTCAAAGTTTCTTATTGGGCTTGAATATTAGTTTTATCTTTATAATATTAGCTCATAATACATAATTAATAAACGTACGCTACGCCTTAATAATTCATGGCCGGAGAGAACCTCTAATCATCAGCCATGGGAGCTATGCAATGAAGTGCCAATTGGTAAGATGCCGGCCAAACGCTCTGGAGCGGTCCAAGTCACATTACTAAGGAATCCTCAAGACAAAAGGAAAAGTGTCCGCCCAAAACAGACCAGGCTATGAAGCATCATTGCAGAGGCCAGAGAAGCTGGAATGACGTGGAGTGACAATAAGAGAGCTACCCAAGACCAATCAGGCTGGTTTCCTACGCAGGATGCCTTGGGGATATATGACTTTAAGTCAAGTGAGTCACGTCTTTATTGCCATTAATATTTTGTTTTACCGCTGTCGTTTCGGTTTTTAAATAAATATTTTAATAAAACCAAATTATTTAATTAATTAATGCCTACTGCAACTTTTCTAATCCTTGGGTAGAATGCCACGCAAGACGTAAGTGGTCTAGGCATACAAAGGACAAGAAAATATGCGCAATCCCAACTTTGTCACCGTACCCACCACGCTATATCATCAGAAAGTAGCAATGCTCTAAGCATCTCTATCACTACTCCATAACTATGAATAATCTTCATAAAAATCAAACTACACCGCAATTTTGTTTACATCATTATAGAGATACATCATTTTTTTAAATAAAAGTAAGAGATGTTTATGAATTTCGTATTAAATCTATACCTTTCCATTTCTATTACGAGAAGGCTAACTCGAATTGAACTTACTTTAATACTAGCCAAATGAAATTGCATATAGTTTAGTTATAGACTTCCATAATAATGTATAATACAAATGTCATAGAATCTATATAAAGTTATTCCTTAATATATATTTATTTACTGCATAAAATTACTACAAGTTATAACAAAAGAAAGTTAGCGCAACTATCATTTTATTCGTCACAACATTAAAAATTCATTCCTAATGATTGCCTTGTACTATTGTTTGAAGAATAAAAATCAATCCTTAATAACTAAGCTTGGAGCATAATAATAAATATTGAATAACTGTCATATATTGTGTAAAATTACGAATATGTAGAACAATTTTCAAATGTCTAAGAATGGATATAATTGCTTGACCCGATAAAAATACCGACATGAATATAGAGTTAAGTTCGGTGGTGGTTGTTGAAGGGATGTTCAAATGTATGTAAAAATAAAAGTCTTTGTTTAGGTATCAAATGGCGTTAATCGTTTAAAACTTGAGCTTATAACTAACATAAAATTAGGGGCTGTGGTGTTGCGACGCGACGCTCGACTAACGAAAAACTTACTTGACTTATTGAAAGGTTCTTAAATCTAAGTGACACGTCTTATCTTACCTAAAGAATATATGTAGTCGACCTATTGAAATTGAAACGAGAATGTTATATTATAATTTATGAGTGTGGGAAAAAGGGCAAATTTTAGCTTCAAGTGTGCGATAATTGCTAACATTTTGTGTGTGTAATTTAAAAAAATAATATGTTTGGTTACATAACTGAACTGATGTTGGGTTACATAACTACCGTCAATGTAGGTTTTTTAAAACAAATAGAATAAGGCTTTTGCTTACTTTGTAAAGCTATATTTTTTTATAGAAAAGAGGGTAAACGGGCAGAAAGTTCACTGTCATGTAAGTGATACCGCCGCTCTTGAATGCAGACAAGCTAAAAGCTTATAATTATCTCTTTCTTGGTAATAATAATAACACTTTATTATCATCACAATAACAAAAAATTAAGAAAGATGAAGAACTGGCGGGGAAAAACTGGATGAATGTTGCTCAAGACAAGGAGAAATAGAAAAATATGGAGGAAGTTTTTACCCTTAAAGGGGCCATACAAAAACTAGACCACTCTCACTCACTTAAAATAATAAAAAAAACGAACTAAATAACTTAATTTTTTAAAACTTATACTAACACAACTAATACTAATATTTAGGAATGTAAAGGAACCAATTATTGTATGGATAATAATAATAATAATAAACAAAAATAAAATAAAATAAGAATAAGGATGTAAGTGGGCGGTCTGCAGTTTCTTCTACTAACTTCACTAAAACTATATCTACTTTCTTAGACAATGTTACTTTGAGATATATTCAAGGATAATAAATAGTTATTTTATTTAGAGCGACAGTGAAAATTGGCTGACATATTGGGGCTTTAGTGAAGAAAAGTTAGGACAGTTTCCTTTGAATATTTGATATGGTTCTTTATTTGTGACAACGTCCATTCTCTTGTTTGAGTTGGGTACGAACCTATCAATTTTAACATTTCATAACTTACCACAATTTATGTAACTTTCTAGTTTATTTTCATTTATAAATGAAGAATTTAGTTCATTAAACCTAAGCAAATAATTATATAGTGAGTTGTTATGTGTATATGTTTTAATATAATTTATGTGTAAAATTTGTGATGTCATGTTTTCTTGTATAGTTTATGCATTGATTTGCATTAAGAGCAGTGTTGGCCTAGTGGCTTCAGCGTGCGACTCTCATACCTGAGGTTGTAGGTTTGATCCCCGGCTGTGCACCAATGGACTTTCTTTCTATGTGCGCATTTAACATTTGCTCGAACGGTGAAGGAAAACATCGTGAGGAAACCGACATGTCTTAGACCCAAAAAGTCGACGGCGTGTGATCGGCACTGGAGGCTGATCACCTACTTGCCTATTAGATGGTAATGAAACAGATTCAAAAATCTGAGGCCAAGACCTAAAGTGGTTGTAGCGCCACTGATTATTTTTTTAATTTTATGCATACTCGCTTTAGGGGATGGTTCTTATCTCTACGCCTCTTAATCAATTTCACTATACTTTAGCAACTTGAACGAGTATTTTTGTTTTTTACATTGACAGCTTGATTCTTGAGATATTTAATATTTATAACTACAAAATGCAGAAATTAATGTGCATTTATTAAAAATATACAAATCAAGGACATCATGTCTTATGTTACTGAATCAATTTACAGGTCACGTCAGGTCATTTGTTCAACGTCGTGTCTGGCTCGGAGATCAGTCGAAAATGTTCCGTAAATGTTTACAAAACTAAATATTTTACAAAAACCTTAAAATATTTAAACGCAAGCGTATTATACGTAGTTGTATATTAAGTTTCAAATGCTTAACAGATGTGATAAAACAATCACTACACAAACAAATATACAGATTTCTGAGAGTTTTTACGGCCTTTTGAACCTAAAAGCCTACTTAGAACCCATTTAAGCTTATCAAAAACCGACTTAAGTATGTCTGTGGCTTTACGCAGCCATATCGAATATTATACTAAGTTGATGCTTAAGGGCGAAGTCAAGAATGACCTCATTGATTCTCTGGACTTTAGTTAAGCTAGTTATTATGTTAC